CGGTGGTAATCAGGGTATCGTATTTCCATAAGGAACAGAGGTGTAAGTAGTCTCTTAACTAGTTTACCTAACAAGAATTGGAAGAGGGGTAACTTGGGTAGTGAGGTTCTTCTAATGATTTGGGATCTTAAGAGAACATAACTTTGCTACTACAGACTTGCTTCGGGCACCGATGAACACTTGGTCTGCCAAGCGTTGCTGGCCAATAGCTCTATGCCATATACGAACATGGGGATTACAAAAGATGGACAGGGTTGTCACCATCTGCCGCCTACCCCTCAACCGGGGGATACGAGGCAAACAAAGGTAACATGTAGCTTAGACACCACGTCTATGCTAACCGTTACTACTCTAGCGTTGGCTAGGAACTTTCGTCTTTATCAGGAGTCCTCTACTAGAGTATTCACCCTAGGGATGAACGACGAACCCACAAGCTTGTAAGAACAAAGATAACTTACTTAAGTACTCAATATCAAAAGATGAACACGAACTTCTTACTCCAAGTAGTAAGACGAACATAGAGGTACAAGTGTAGAGGGAGCCGACAAGTGTGGCACAACGACCACTCGATGTACTAGGCTCGCCGAGTACAAGAAGTAGAGGGCACCGCTACTCCGCTATTCCTCTAACTCTTTCCTCTCTCACTCCCTACTCTAGTCTAGCTATAAGCTAATAGAATGTGTGTAACCCTTCTTCTTCTTCAATGTGTACATTGCTACAAATGTGAAGAGGGGCCTCCTTTTTATAGCTTGAGGATGGTCTGTTTGCTCAGGTATTTTAGGAAACACCGCATGCAACCGCCTCCCCGTGCATTGAATGCACCGCCAGAGAAAGGTAGGGCCAAGCGGAGCTGGGGGTGGTGCGGCCGCACAATGGGCTGTGCGCCTGGCCACCGTCTTTGGCATGTGGGCTCTTGGTTGGACCTGGTCTTCTCCTACGCTGGTGCTCAGCCCTGATGTGGAGTATGAATGGGCTTTTGCTTGTGTTTTGCTTGAATACGCCTTCTCGGTTGCGCATTTTGGTGTGTTTTCACGTATTGCTCTTCAAAACATGTATATACCAAAACTAGTGGAAAATGTGAGTTGTAAACCCTAATTCTAAGTTTTGGCATTCATATTTGTTTTATTTTGTTTAAATGTTGGTGGTAGAAATATGAGTTAAGCACCGCCAACATGGACCTCGCCTTGTCGCTAAGGGAGGAGTCGGCAGAGCTGCAACCACCTCCTAGTGCTGATGCCACCATTCTAGCCCTTGACCATTAGGAGTTATTTGCTATGGCATGGCCTCCCCTAGGTGAACCTTCTCGAGGCTTCCTTGGCTATCAAGGAGCCCCTGTCTAGAGGGGCTGACGAGTGGGCCCTGAAGCCCTTTGCTCCTGGATTTGGTGAAGTCTCTTGTCCTGTTGTGTCATGCCGGTTGCATAACCCTGTTGAAGGAGCAGCCAGGAGAGCCTCACGCGCATTGAATGGTCAGATAACAGGTGCGCGCGACCGTACCAGATAGGTATAGCCCCGGGGGATTTGTGAGATCGGTCGGGGGTAGGGGGCATTGGTCAGCTCCTCCTTCCCAAGGACTTAGCATACCCCTATGTTTGACTCTCGTTAGGAGCCCCCAAGCCCTTCGTGGCCTTTTAGGTCGAACTCGAGATGGCGACGAGGGTTTGAATCCAACCTTTGGTGACCGGGTTGACCGGGATGGACATAGTCTCTACTGTCTTGGGTCAGACGCCCTTATTGGTGGGTCTGAGCCTTTTGGCGTGCATGCGGCTTCTGGGCCGAGCAATGTTGAGGTCAAGCATTCTATGAGGAGGCCCGATCGAGGCCCTGGCCGAACCATCGGGGAGTCACCAGGTCTAGGCCCACGTGGGGTGCCATGCATATCTTCGACTGCCGTGGGTCAAGTGACTGTGACGTTAAGCCCTGGCTCGATGCCGATCCATCACTGGGTGTCCAATGCCCGTGTGAGGGTTCGGTGATAGGCCTCCAAGGCTCAGCCTACCCTTTGCGATGGCTGGGTGCATTCTATGCCTTGGCCTTGGGCGGCCCTCATTAGGCCCATCGCTCAGTGCCCTCTACTCTGATCCTTGTTGTGCTCGGGGAGCAATAACGGGGCACCCGTTGGTCGGGTCCTAGAATTCTTGGCGGAGGGGCTGGTGTAGCCCCCTAGGCCATCATGGGGCTTGCTTGTTAGCGAGCAGGGTGGTTTCTCCATGCGCCCTCCCAAGTAACGCTCGGTGCAGTGTTTTGGTGACCCTTAGTCGACACGCCGGTGAGTCCAGTTAATGCGCACACGTGCAGAGCTGCTCCATGCCCCGTGATCGAGGGGAGAACCACCATGCCATGCGACACTGATCTGATGGATGATCGACCGTGGTGCTTTAGATGTATGGATCTGGTCCGAAGGTCCTACGCGAAGGGCTCGAGGGGAGGCGTGTCCCCTTCAATGCTATGCCAGGACGAGCGTGCGGAAGATGTCGCGTTATCACATAGTGGCGTGAATTGCAAGGCAGGATGTGACCCATCATGGGCATTGATGAGAGTAAACACATAGGGGTATGTTAAGTCTCTGGGAGAAAGGCTCCTGACCGACATGCCCAATAGATCTCTCTAGGATCGCTAGGGGCCTCGGGGGCTATAACCATCGGGTACGCTCACGCGTATCCTCCGGTCAAAGCACGGCAGAGCCCGAGCTTGCCCACCGCTGACTCTCAAGGCTCAGGGGCACGGCAAGGTCCTGAGCTCCCGACCAACGAAAGCCTAAGCCTGACCAAAGCTCGATCCCAACTTGAGCTAGTGGCCAGGCCAATGACCAACATCCTGATCATCGGCCAGCAGCTAAGCGTTGGCCAGCCCGCCAAGCATCCAAGCCCTGAGAGTTGACCAATGGGAGCGGGGCGCTACTGGTCACTCCTCCGACAAAGTCACGCAAATGGCATCACACAACAAGACAAGCCACTCCACTGGCTCTAGGGGCACGGGGCTCCTGGGCCCGCTCGTTATCTCCCTGTGCTGGGATGCCTTCATCGCCATGGAAGCCTTGAGAAGGCTGACCTGGTGGAGTCTGATACGCAGCAGACAGCCCCTAGCGATCAAGCGCCAGGGCCGTAGCGACGTCAGGAGGTGCCCACAACTCCCCTAACTACATGACAACATTGAGGTCCATCCACGCAGTAGCAGCACCCTCCTAGACCTTGGTGCATGAAGGCTATAGACTGTAGCCTCCAAACCGCCTTGTTCCCGACCTTCCCCAGAATATAAGAGGAAGGTCAGCTCCCATAGTAGGGAGGATCTTCTCCTTTCCCTCATTCACTAGGAGGCTAAGCAGTTGAGTTGGGCTGAGAACAGGGCAACGGAGATGAACAACGGAGTGTTCCTCCCTACCAGCAACCTAGTAAGAGAGAGGAGTGTTTCCCTTACTCACTGGGGAAGAAATCTCATCGCCGACGAGCCGTAGGATAGCACAGAGCGATCCCCTGCCAAACTTTTTTTCTCCTTCGTTGTAACCCCCTGATTTGGTGCTCTCGAATACAAAGAACTACTCACTGATGGACGTAGGGCCTCTAAAGCCTGAACCAGGATACATCATCGTATCTTCTCTCATGTTCTTGAATACCCAAGCCACCGGAGACCCACACTCTTGACATCCGACAAACAACAGTGCTTTCCACAGTGACAAACCGACGATAGCCAGCGCGCCAGGTAGGGGAGCGCGTCAAGTGTGATTATGGCTCTATGGTGGCCGGAGCCACCCGCCTCGTCACCAGAGGAGGCAGCGCCGCACCAGAAGGTGGCGTCCCCCTCCCTGGCGAGATCTCTGTCACAACAATGCGATTGTGCGCCTGGCTAGTGAGGGCTTCTCAGGATTAAAACAATTTTTTTCTATTTTTTTTTTCTAATTTTAGTATTTCTAGAAATCCTCGTCACTATAGGTTGGTAATATAAACTGGTTCTAGTTGTGATAATTTATTATCCCCGCTGATAATTCATTATCGAGAGCCAAAACGACAGTGATATGGGGTTTATAAACGGCTATGATGACCTTTCTATAGTAGTGATGTGTTTGTCAATCCACTACTCCCTCTATCCTGTAATATACTATATTATAGGAATTTTAAGACAAATTAAAAGAGAACATAAAAGACGCATGTACCCTCATTTTATTTCCTAATCAGATGCTATCATTAACATGATTAATGGTGATTGGTTGATAAATAAAAAGTATTTAATGTAAAATTGGTTTTTGTCCTTTAGAATGCATTATATTTGAGGATAAATTTTGAATGCTAGAATTAACTATATTACAGGATGAAGGGAGTAGAACACATGCCCACTGTACATTGGAATTCAGTTTTCTCAACATGATTTATGTCCCTAGGATTCCTTATATTTGAGTTTAATTTTTAAATGATTATATACACTTTATTACCGGATGGAGGGAGTATGGAAAACTTATACAGGCCAATGTATGTTCTAAATTTGTCTAGTGACAACCGGGTTTGTCTTGCTAGATGCGCCATGCCCCACTGCTAAATGTAGCGTCCCTCGCCACTGTGAACCGATTGTCAGGGAAGGAAAGAGTGTTTTCCATCGGAAGAGAGGGGCCATTGGCCCCGTTCGCTTCGCTGAAAAACAAGCCGAACACTATTTCGACTGATTTGTTGTGAGAGAAAAACACTGTTTCAGCTGAAAAAGACAAATTATAAGAGAAGTGAACAGTGCCATTGGCTCAAGCGCTGAGAAAGAGTAAGGAGGGACCCTCGGCCGCTTGGATGGAAGTGCAGCGTCAAGCTGCAAACGGTGCGGGTCGGGGCGACCCTTTTGCTGACCCGCCGCCCCGTGGTAATTGTTAGCAGGGTTAGGGTCGAACCGCACCTCTCCTTCTGTTCGCTCCTGTGACCCGTGGGTGAACCGCCCCTTATTCGAGTACCCAGAAGCCGCCAAAGCAGCTGTCCTGCTAAACCACTGATCAGTACACGACGTTCTAGCACTAATCATATATCATCAGTCCACAACGTTATCACTGAAGAGCTTGAACTCGCCAGCATCGAGATCGAGCGCGAGCTTCCGCACGGACGCCACGGCGCCGATGACGCCGACGCCGGTGAAGACGACCATGATGGCGACGTTGGCCAGGTACACGGGCGAGCACCTGGGCGTCGCGAGCGCCACGTTGTACATGACGACGGGGAGGACGAAGTCGAGCGGGATGAATCCCACGGTGCCCACCACGCCGACGACGTCGCCGAAGAAGGGCAGGGCCGCAGCCATGAGCGCGCACGCCGCGACGTACGCCGTGCGCAGCGCGAACCGGGGCGCCATGTTCTGGCATGAGAACCGGCCCCGCACAGCGTCCGCCGAGCTCTTCTCCATGATCTCGTACGTGTACACCAGCGCAACGGCGAGGAGACAGAGGAGGGCGAGCTGAGGACGACGGCGAGGCCGACCTGTCACGTGGGCGCCAGCCGTCAGGGATGGGTCTGCAACCGGCATCAGGCTCTGCAGCACGTTGGACGTAGGTGCAGCGCTGTCGCCGGATCGTGTCCATGAGGTCTGTGGCGGAGTCCCCGACTTTGAGGTCATTGCAATCGTTAGCGAATGGCAGCGAGGTTCGGTTCGGGTCGACCCAGGGTCGATGGCGTCGTGACCCTAGCGTAACCTTTTTCGTTTGGGGTCGATCCGCTCCGACCCTTTGTAAATTTTTAGGAGCGGAGCGTGTTCGCTACAGGTTCGATCCGCACCCCTTGCAGATATAGCGCAGCGTTGGCTCTCTCATGGAGCACACCGCACATATTATTCTAAAGATGATAATTCAGGCAACTCATGCCGAGTATCGTAACGAAAGAAAGGTAGCTATGTCTCTCTAGAAAGATTTTCAGGTAGACCGTATGGACAAGTATACCCGATATTAGCCATCGGGCAATGACTTAGTGTGCGTTCTAAGCTTGCCCATGCACGTTTGATTCCAAGGTTTCACAGTATGCTGCAGTTGCGGCTCGTGATTCTCGTTGTTGGAGCGCTCCACAAGTCGACATATCCAGTAGTAGTCGCTATCGTGCATAAATATGGTGGTGTTTAAATTTAGAGGTTAAAGTTTAAAGGTGTCACATCGGATGTCACATGGGAGTGTTCGGATAATAATAATAAAACAAATTACACAAGTCATCTTAATCCGTCATTAGCACATGTTTATTGTAGCACCACATTGTCAAGTCATGGATTAATTAAGCTTAAAAATTCGTCTCGTAAAGTAGTTGTAATTTGTGCAATTAGTTTTTTTTAATTTATATTTAATACTCCATACATGTATCCGAACATCTAATGTGATAGTGACTAAACTTTAGGAGAGGGCGCCTGCAACTAATGAGATCCCTCTTAATAGTTAATAGTATGACATTCTAAACTCAAATGGTTCAAATAAATTTGTAAACAAACCAAACTTCTTTCACCCGAAGCGAGTTGCCGTAGCTTTTTATATAGAGACTGAGGGATCTCTTGTTTCCTTTTTTTCACTTTTCACATTAATATATAACTAAAGTGCATGAAACATCTTTATCTTTTTTATATACATTGTCATTATATATATCACCAAAACCCACAAATAGGATTGCTGCACCTACAAGTTTTTTTTATCGTGCAGGTATGTATATGGTGAAATTTTGACCATATTAATTGTTTTTTTGGCTTTTAGCATAATTTTTTTTGGAGTGAGTATGCTTGCACCCTCTAGTTTATGGGAGAATTGTCTGTTGGACATTCAAAAAGTGATGGTCCTTTTTGCTGGCGGACACCCACTTTGGAGCATTTTGCCAGAAGACACTCTGATTCAGTAAAATTATGCCACATAGCACCACGGACCGGTTGCAGCCGGTTGAGAAGAGAGAACAACGATAAAATAATATTTTTGCTCCTGCCGCTTTCTTCTTCATCTCTCTCCATTTCTCTTTGCTGGCGGACACGAGGACGGACCGACGGTAGAAGTGTAGGTGCTAGATTGCAAAGTACGCGTGCACAGTTGCGGGCTCGGTCCATGGGCCATGAACCTGCGGTGTGCAGTCCACCGGACCAAATCCATGAGGAAGGTGTATTGGGATGATTAAATCTCGACCTCAGATCTGGCGATGAGTATTCAGATGGTATATTTGGATTTGTTTTTTAAGAGAAAAACGGCCGTATATCACGTATTGATGACAGCATGGTGACCTCATCAAGCCAACAACGAATCAAGCCGAGCACGTTCTTTGGCAGAGACGCAGAGCAAAACAGAGCACGGCGCGACGGGCACCGTGGCTCGGTCGGCGCTCGGCAAGGTGTTCGCGCGTGTGCGGGAGTGGCGCAGGGCTGCAGGAGCGCCTGCCTCCGTCTCAGCACTACCTTAGACAGCTCGCCCGGGCAGGCACGGCGGAGCAGGCGGGCAAGGCAGGCACGGCGGAGCAGGCGCGCCAGGCTGCCGCGCCAAGGACCTCCTCGTGCAGGCCGCGCCGCACTGCTGCTGGCGGTCGACAAGCTCGCGTCGCGCGCTGCGCCGTGGACGCCGTCGCGCTCGGCGTGGAGGGAGTAGATGGGCACGTTGAGTACGGGCGCCACGCAGACGTGCACCAAGTACGACCGCTCCATGCCGGGCGGCACCGCCGGCCAGGCTGCTGGAGCTCCGCCTGAGGCCGTTGAACACCAACTTGCTCGCCGCGTTGAGGCGCGGGCTGTAAGCCGCCGGTGGCGAGGGTGCAGACTGCGACTGGGGCTGGGACGTAGTCGCGGACGCCGACGCCTGCTGCTGCGACGCGGACGGGGACAGACGGATCTCGAGAGGCAGCAAGCTCTGGCGCGCCGGCCTCGACCGCATGCTCCGCGCCGCGCTTGCCTAGTTGCCTCGCCCGCTTGCTGCGCTGCGACGGCCTCGCCGGCCGCGTCCAGGCACCCGCCGTCGGCCAGGGCGACGATGAGGAGCAGAACCACCGATACGCGTGTGCCGGCGACCGTGCCTGGTCCTGATGCTGCCTTGCCGTCGCGCCCCTAGGAAGGACGCGGGGAGGGCCGTGCGCGAGCTCGCCGTCGCCGCCGCGGGCACCCCAGGCCAGCACGGCGAGGAGAAGAACCACGCCACCACCCACACGCACGCGCTCCCTGTCATCAGCCGCCACCGTCGACGGCACCACGCGGAGGCAGTCGGGCTTCACGAGGAAGTAGCCCTTGGTGCGCAGGGCCGGGCGCTCGGAGTCCCCCACTACCGCATCCTCGCCGGCCAGTGCCGCGTGCGCCCGCCCAGCCGCGAGCTCCGACGCCGCCGCCGGTGCGTGCTTTGCCGGTGAGACAGGGGAGGGAGAAAAAAAGTGCTCCTTCAGCGACGGCGGGTGCGGAAGGCGGAGAGGGCGGCGGGGACAGAAAACAGGAAAAAAAAAGAGAGGAAGAAAGAGCGGCAGGGGAAAGAAAGGTTATTTCACCGCTGTTTTCTCTCATCAACTAGCTACAACCGGTCTGTGATGTTCCGTGGTCTAATTTCACCAAATCAAAATATTTTCTAACAAAATGCTCTAAAGTGGATGTCTCTCAGCAAAGAACCATAACTTTAAATGTCCGACGGACAATTCTCCCCTAGTTTATACGTTGATCCCCCTTCAAAGACTCCAACAAGGGTGTCATGCAGCGCTCCAGAAAGCTACGCGTACACTAAGCATCCCTATTGTACAAACTTGGCGCCTTATGAATGATGACGTCCGCGTAGCTTGACGGTCCGAGATGTGGCAACGATCTGTGTACCTTCCGCGGGTGGGAGTAGAGAAAAACTGAAACGCCTTCGCATTTAATCAGTTCAACTAAAGCCGCCAATTAAGTCAGCCAACGTGCATCGGGCGGGCCTCCCGCCTCCCTCCCGTACCACTGCGTCTGCGTGATCCGGCTTGTTCCACTAGCAGGTGGGTTCACTCCCTTGTAGGCCCAGTAGGCTGCTGCTTGTTGCTCTCATCTTTTTCTCCCTCCCATCCCCTTCCTCCCGAATCCAACCAGTAGACACTCATTAAATTTGCTCAAAGAAAATGTAAACACTCATTAAATAATAACAACAACAACAACAATAAATAATAACAATAAATAATAATAATAAAAGAGTAGAAAAGTGTAGGAGAGGGCCTGTTTGGCTGCGGTAAAAAGCTGTAGCAACTACTGCAAATGGCTGCAGCAACTATTTTTTATAGCAGCCGAACAAGCTCAAAGATTTGCCATCACCCACGATTGCTCTCTGGCACATGTGTCGCTCATCGCCGCTTGGGAGGATCTTGGCCGCATTGCGCTTCTCCAGCGAATTGGCTACCATTCTCGCTATTTCGAGGAGCAGTGAAGTTGTTGGGTGGTTGGCGCTTTCTCCCTGTGGTTTCTCCTCCTCCCGGGGGAGAGGTTTGCCTGAGCTGGGAGCCTCATCCCCTTGGGGATCGACCGAGTCTTGCTGCTCGCTATGCGCTCTAGAGTGGTTCAGATCATAGCAGGGTGAGGTGAGAGCTCTTCTTGCCTATGCTTTAGTTTGATGTGTGCCCAAAGAGTGTGTGGTTCCCAAGCTTAATCTTGTTCAAAGTAGTGGCATTCTTAACGCACTGCATGCCTCGAGAAATAGATTTCGTGAAAAAGGCCATCAGAAACGTGCAAAAAAAAAGGCACACCAATTTTATGTCTTCCCTTTTGTAGGGCTGATGGCTTATTTTTTGTACAACTAGTGGAGTAGTTTTTTTGGCTTCAGCTTGTGGAACAACTGTAGAAGTGGAATTGTTTTGTTCTGGTAAAATGTTTGATAAAACAACTTCTCATAATATACAAGAACGAGGAAGTTGAAATGTCTATAATACCCTTATTTTTTCTTTTTCTTTTTCTTTTTCCTTTTCCTTTTCTATTTTCTTATTTTATTTATTTTTTCGCCCTCCCTTGTCCGGTCACTCCTCTCCCCACTTGCAGCTCTAGCCACACTTTTTCTTCGCGCTTACATCTCCTGCTTGGCCTCCAACAACAACACCGCCCCTCTCACCGTGCCTCCTGCTTCGTTGCCCCGCCACTCTCTCCACACCTCTCGCAACGACGCGCCTCCTCCTCCACTGCCCCGCGCCTCTCTCTATGCCTCCCGCGTCACCTCACCCCGCCTATCATCGCTTGGGCTTCTTCTCTGCCGCAGGTTGCGTATCGGTGTTCATCCTGCGTGAAAAGGGAAGAACCGATGGAAGCTATTTTTTCAGCTCCTCAATCTCTCGCGTCTCTCTCTCGTCTCTCTCTCGGCACGTTTTGGCGAGGTTCACCCAATGAGCTAGTTGCCGGAGCTCATTTGGTAGCATCACGTCCAGAACAACTTCTGAAGCTGCTCAAGAATCTCTACCAAACATAGCCTTTCTCTCTATTTTCGAATACGGTGATGCATGAGCAAATCTATAGTGGGTGTCCCGATATTCCGAGATATACCCAACGATTTTTCCAACAGTACACATTATATACATGTAATAATATATTTATAGAGAGAGTATGGTTTTTTGACGAGAGAGAGAGTGTGTGTGAGAGTATATGGTTAAGCGTTAATCTTCATCTCAGCTGCTCATATGGGTTTTCCAATGGCTGGCCCAATGGCCCATCTCCCAGACGTTGAGTATTGGTCCTATTCTCTCCTCTCCCTGACGCGCGACCGCAACCAGCCTGACTCCGGACCGTCTCCACTCTCCAGTCCGCCCGTCGCAGAGACGCAGACGCCGCGCCACACAGCCCGCCGCCCCGCCGAGGCACCGACGGTGGCCGCCTACCCCAGCACGGCTTCGCCCCGACCGGATCCGGCCTTGCTCGTGCCTCGTGCTGGCTTGGCCGTCGGTCGTCGCCCTCCCCCTCCACCCTCGGTGCTCGGCCGTCCAGCGGGAACGGCGCAGCCGCGCAGGCGCAACGGGCGCTCGCCGCTCGGTAAGGGCGGCCTCCGGGGCAGCGCCAGCGAGGCCGGGGCGCAGCACAGGAGCCCGCCGCCGGCCGTCTGCTCAAGCGCCAGTGGCGGATCTACAGCCGGCGCCGAGAGAGGTAAAGATCTCAAATTCCTCATTCCCCTTTTGTAATTTCTCTTTGTTATGAAAAATCTCTAGTCTGAACTATATGTACCTTTTACTTGTGTGAACTTTTCGTATCTTTCAACTAAGTACTTTCTTTGCCTTGAGAATACCCAACATTGAAATCCTGGATCCGCCACTGCGGTGATGCCTCTATCGAGTGCTTCGTGGACTTACTGTTGTTGTCAACTTGGCATCAGTTTAATTTCTTCCAGTGCGGGTATTACATTGGTCAAATTGTCCTGGACCAGAAACTGTGTACCATCTTAAGATCTACCAGCCTCTATTGACTATTGCTCATAATGTTTGGTTTCCTAACTAGCCATCCATTCAGTAAAGCGTTTTGCTCATGGGAGTAGCTGTTGGGGGCGGAGTTCTTGAGCATGACCTTGCCATCGTTCTCAGCTCATCGACCTAGAAACGAAGTCAAATGGCTAGGGAGGACGAAGAGGACTTATTGTTTTGTTTCGGTGTTATGTGGGGTTGGGATATTTTGTTTTTTCTGGGGAAGCACTTGGGGGATAAAGATTTTTTTCTCTGAAAATATCGAAGCCTATCCTTGTTCTTATGCATCAAATCAACAAGCAAATTTGAACTAGGTGGCTGTGGATTTGCTCTTGCTGCTTACTATTAATGCCACAATTGTGCTCCTTGTGACCTGCTGTGTTCTTCTTTTTGGGGTCTGACTACTGTAACAAGCTATGAGATTGTTCCATGGATCTTTTCTGAATAAAGGGTGTACCCAGTGCTGAGAGCTCCCACTCTGTGTGGGGTTTGGGGAAGGGTGTTAGTGGCAAGCCTTACCCTCGCCTGTGCAATGCGAGGAGACCGCGACTCGAACTCGGGACCTTCCGGTCACAAGCGGTAAGACTCTACCGCTTGCACCAGGCCCGCCCTTCATGGATCTTTTCTGAATCACGAACTAAATAATAGCAGCAGGACTAGTGTCTGAGTTTTAATTGCAGTTTAATAACCAACCTTTATAATTAAGTCATGTTGTAGCAAAAATGACATATATTAAGTCCTCTGTGTTAAGTCTCCTGCTCCATCTTGTGTGTATTCTTTATATATATTTTCATCATCATATAGTTTCAAGGCATCACAGTTTTTTTTCCATTAATATATGCAGGCGCCAAGCCCTTCCTCCAGCTGATGTAGCAATATTTACTCACATTTGATCCTCACTATACTGATACTTCAAGATGGAACAAATTTCAGTGAGTTGCTTGATGTTGTTAATTAATAATTACAATCGCACTAGTTTCAATATTGGTATTTTGTCAGAACTGAAGCTCTGAAAAATCTACGCTTGTCAATAATTTTCTCGAATTTATGTAGCTTGGCAACAGATACAAGGAGTGCAGGCCACGAAGAACTAGCAGCTGTCAAACAAAAATACTTGTTGGAAAGGATGTATTGCACGAACTAGAGCAAAGGCGTTCATCACCAAGTGTAATTGCAAAACTGATGGGAATTGATGTGTTGCCACCTTCTAATATGGTCAATAGTCGGCATCAAGAATTTAAGGATGTTTTTGAAGTGTCAGAGGAGCCACCAGAGGCTGTCACAAAAGAGAGGTCCCATCATTTTCCAAAAGGCTTGCCAAGCTTGAAACAAAGAGCGCTAAGATTAAAAAAGCTTATGCCATCAAAAACACTCTACGGAGATGATACACATGATTGTCATGTGGATTGCACAGATGGCTTGGGTCGCTTGAACTCAGTGGAAATAAATAATCCTTTATTTGAGAAGCGCCCTCATGACATGAACTATTCTGCAAATTATCAGTATGGGAAAGATACATCAAGTGTTTGCAGGACTTACCCTGTGGGTTTAGCCAATTCTTCACTCAGCAGTTTCAGCTTTTTATCAAGAGGAAAAAACAAAGATTTCAACAACATTGTAGTTCTGGAACCACCATGCTTGGAAAAAGGGCATGATCCAGAAAACGTTTTTTCCATTCCATACCTTTCTCCTCTCAATAAGAACTGCAGGAGAGGCATGAAACATAAGCAATCTGAGTTTCCTGTAATGAAGAATGGAAGAGATTGGCAACATATATTAAGTACTGAAAATAATAATGTGCCTCGAATTAGAAAAGAAAGATTCTTGACTAGTGACCCCATTGATCCACTTCAAATTGGACAGGAAGCATCAGTTCATCAGTTTGGCAATACTGATGCGAGTTGTCTTGGATCATCTCAGAGGTATTCTTGTGGTAATGATAACTTTAGGCAAACTAACAGGTCATCATCAAACAGCGCGCTGTTGAAAATACGCTGGCATGCAGAATCTGCTGTTGGTTCGAAAACTCTTGCAGAAATGTTTGCTCTGTCTGATTCTGAAAGACTGAAGCTAAATTCAGATTCACGTGCTCCAATTCGACGTAATATGATTGACCGTGATAATGGTCATAGCAAGGATGGATGCTTTATAGTTTTACCAAAGCATGCACCTCTGCAATCTATCCGAAGCTCAACGGACAGGAATTCTTGCTCGGAAGGCTCCTCTCAGGGTAAAAATAATTCAAATATATCCAATATTTACAACAATGGGAAGTGTCAGTTTGATTCTTTCCGGGATAAACCAAGACTGCTGAAGCAAATTGGCAGTGGCAGTGAAGCTCACTTGAGCAATGCTTGCTGTTTCCAAAATCTGACAGCAGACAACTTTTCCACTCCTGATTGCTTAAATGAGAAAGTATTGTTCACAACAGATGAAGACTTAGTGCAACAACCAGCTGAATCTGAAGCTTCTGGTTTCAACTTGCAGGTTTCTAGGAAACAAAGGGTATGTGTCTTTGCATCCATCAATTTAGAGAACCAAAAAGGAAGGGAGTGTACCTGAGGATAATTTACTTGTATGCTCACTTAATTATAGTTACCATTAGAAGTTGAAATCATCTACTATAAACTCACATACAAATCTTGCATTTTCAATCTGTAGATATGCTTCATGTTCTGATAATTTTTAATGGTAGTAAGTTTTCATGCTTTGCTCTTTTATTAATTCTGATGAAGCTGATGTGATGCCTTTTTTGTTTTTGTTTTTTATGTTGGAGAGTAGTTGGTAATGTTTATTTTTTGAGGACGTGCGGTTCTTATCTATTAACTAGATGAATACCTGTGCGTTGCCACAGGACAATAATCATATATGCACTTTGATGATGCTATTATGAATTAACTTGATAAAAAACACTTTATTCAAATTTTCAGTAGTCAAGCGTTGCCGCGGGACAATAATCATATATGCACTTTAATGATGCTGTTATGAATTAACTTGATCAAAAACACTTTATTCAAAATTTCAGTAGTCATTTTGGTGCAATGCATACACCCTTCCTCAAAGTTTTATCTTTTTAACATCAAACAAATCAATTCGTTCGTAATAATGACACAAAAGGTAATACCATTGGTTGAATTCAGAGCATAATTAAGCATGTACAAAAATAGAATGACTGCACGTGTAAACAAATAAGTTTTTGCATGTAGATATGGTCATGCTGACCATATACAAAGATAATACGAGTTTCTACAATATTCAATGCACGGCTTCATCATGTAATCCTGCAACCAATGGCCCATAGTAGCGCTTGCCCTTTTGAACTCACTCGTATTCAAAATCATCATACCAATAATCTCTGTAAGAACAAGTGCTGTTGCTGAAAACCTGAAATGGTGGAATATGTTAATGTCCCTCACAAGAATATACTTAGATTTCCATTCTAGTTAGTAATCAGCACAATCTTGACTTTATTCTGGGATAGCAGATCGCAAAGTATTATGGTTATATGTATTAGCGAACAAAAACAGGGTCTCAGACTGAAGAGACATGCATTAATGTTAATTACCTTGATTCCTTCCCATACACCAGCTGAAACTCGCATTAGAGGGAGGGAGGGAGGGTTACCTTGATTCCTTTCCCATCCACCATCTGAAACTCGGGAGGGAGGGGCGGCTCTGCTCGCCTCGGATGAATTGCTGCCTCCTAGATCATCATCAGTGCCCTTTTACACAGTTTTGTTTTTCTTTTTTTTTTTGTCTTAGCTGACAGAATATGACAGGTTAAGTAAAACTTTATGCTGAAATTTCAGAAACTGCATGTGTGTGAAGTGAGGTCAATGTGTGAAGTGAGCTCAAGATCTGCATTTACAGATGTTACTTAGGCCTGTCTCAATAGGGTTTCAAAGGAGTTTCATTCTCATTTAATGTTGTGACACATCAACAAATTTGCTGAGTTGGCAGATTAATTATGAAGAGAGAGATAGAGTTTCATCTAGATGAAACCTGTTGTCAGAGTTGCTAACACAAAAGCTGATGTGGTACGTGGTAGTCTTGGTAACTGTGTCATGAAACTCCCCAATCCCCATTGAGACTGGCCTTAGCCCTCAGCCAACTGCCGATGCTAGCCTCACTCAACAAATATCTGTGAGGAGAGAATCTGGATCCCAAAATCAAAACCACCATTTAAAGAGAGCATCTTCTGAGGGCTAAACAACAGCTGTAGCCCTTGGACCATTGGCAAGGCTCTGGCCTCAAAAAATCAGTCCAATCCCACAGCAGTTACAAGCCAAACGCAGCACCCTAAGGCACTGGAATTTGGTCAGAGATTCTGTCCATATGCATTCCAGCCAAAGCAACACCAAGGAACTCAAAAGGTATTCATGTGCAATCCTATTAATCAGACAAAGCAACACGAACGGGGAAATGAATTTATTCAAGTCCCAACCAACCTCTTGATGCCTCATCTCCCAGGCCTCGATGAGCTTGTTGCCATGTCTCCTTCGTCACCACCGGCCCTTGATGAGTCCACCCAGGTGATGGATCCTGATGCGGAGTTCGCCGCCAACACCGATGGCGCGGTGCTCCAAGATGAACCCGTACCCGAACTGTTGGTTTGTGCTTGCAACTGCAATCATGGAGAGGAGAGGTTGATTTCACCCTCAATGGAGAGATCCGGTAGCCGACGAAGGGCCTGACGAAGACCGCCTGACGAAGACCTATCGAAGGGACTGACGAAGACCTCAGCACACCTGGCATTTGATGGTGGTGGCGGCTTGAAGTAGCGGCTGCGGGATGCGGGGTTGCGGAGGGCAGCGATGTTAGCCGGGAGGACAGGGAGGGAGTGAGGCAAGTCTGGGAGGAGGCGAGGCGGTCTGGTGGCGTCGACAGTAGAGGGACGTGGAGGCGACGGGGGCAGAGCGGGTCATCGGATGGGGTCGGGCTCGGCGGGAATTCTGGTAGCTTGAGGATGGGCGAGGCCCAACTCCGCCTATGTTGTCTCAACATAGCAGGTCCCAAGCCTTGATAAAGGAGGAGTTGTGATAGGCGTGACGAGCCAACGTTAAATCTAGCTATTCTAATGGAGATGAAACCCGAAAGAAAACCGTTGGGGCATAACCCTCTTAGCGACGCGTCATATCGTAACCCGGGTATGGTGTTAAATGGGCAAGGGCCGGGTCGGCACCTCCTTGGTGACGCGCCATGTCGTGATTTGGGCATGGTGTCAAGTGAGCAGGGATCGGGTCGTCGCTTCCTTAGTGGCGCGCTACATCGGCGTCCGGGTGTAGTGAAAAATGAGTAAGGGTCTTCACATCTGAGTCGATGGGTGCGAAGGGTAAGAAAGTTAGTCGAACCAACTAGGATCCGTTTAGGTAGTTGGAATGTAGGGTCGCTTACAGGTAAGTTAAGAGAATTAATTGATACCGCGACTAGGAGGCGTGTAAATATATTATGCGTTCAAGAGACTAAATGGAAGGGTCAGAAGGCGAAGGAGGTGGACAATACATGTTTCAAGCTTTGGTACACAGGGACAGTTGCGAATAGAAATGGAGTAGGAGTTTTGATTGATAAGAGTCTCAAGAATAGTGTGGTGGGAGTGAGAAGACAAGAAAATAGGATTATCTTAGTCAAGCTTGTCATTGGTGATATGGTCTTGAACATAATTAGTGCGTATGCCCCCAAGTAGGCCTCGACGAGAGTGCTAAGAGATAGTTCTGGGAAGACTTAGATGGTCTGATTAGAGCTGTACCTAGTAGTGAGAAGCTTTTTATAGGAGGAGATCTTAATGGGTATGTAGGTACTACAAGCGCAGGTTTCGAGGCAGTTCATGGAGGTTTTGGGTATGGTAGTAGGAATGAGGAGGGGGAGGAAGTTTTGGACTTCACGGTAGCTTTTGACCTGATGATAGCCAACACTTTCTTTAGAAAGAGAGAATCTCATCTAGTGACCTTCAGTAGCGGACAACACTCTAGCCAGATTGACTTTGTCCTCGCAAGAAGAAAGGACAAACGAGCATGCTTGGGTTGCAAGGTGACACTAGGGAAGTGTGTTGTTTCTCAACATAAGCTTTTGGTGGCAGGTTTCATTTTCAGGTGCGTGCCCGTAGGGATAAACAAGCTAAGATTGAAAGAACAAAGTGGTGGAAACTGAAAGGGGAGATGTCAGAGGTATTCAGGGAAATGGTTATCAAAGAAGGCTCTTGGAAGGAAGAAGAGGACATAAACAACATGTGGAAGAAGATGACAATCAACATTCGGAAGGTGGCCTCAGAGGTGTGGAGTAACCAAAGGAAGTGGAGGCGAGGCTAAAGATACTTGGTGGTGGAACGAGGAAGTCCAAAGGGCTATTAAGGAGAAGAAAGAATGCTATAGATGCTTGTACTATGACAGGAGTGTGGACAACATAGAGAAGTACAAGGTGGCAAAGAAGACTGTAAAGCGAGTTGTAAGTGTGGCAAAGGGTAGAGCGTACGAGGATCTTTACCAACATTTGAGTACGAAGGAAGGAGAGAAGGACATTTATAGGATGGCTAGAGTTCGTGAGATAAAGACAAGGGATTTCAACCAAGTTAAGTGCATTAAGAATGAAATGGAGCATCTCTTGGTGAAGGAGGATGAGATCCGACATCGATGGAAGGAGTATTTTGACAAATTGTTCAATGGTGAGAATACGAACACAACCTTTCAGTTGGATGACTTTTTTTATGACACCAATAGATGCTTTGTGCGGAGAATCCAAGAATATGAGGTCAGAGAGGCGTTGAAAAGGATGAAATGAGGTAAGACGATGGGACCGGATGATATCCCAATTGAGGTGTGGGGATGCCTTGGGGACATAGCTATAGTATGGCTAACCAAGTTGTTTAACCATATTTTTCGATCGAGTAAGATGCCTGACGAGTGGAGAAGAAGTATATTGGTACCGATCTACAAGAATAAAGGAGATATTCAAAGTTGTACTAATTATCGGGCAATTAAGTTGATGAGCCATACTATGAAGCTATGGGAGAGAGTTATCGAGCATCGCTTGAGAGCAATAACGCGGGTCTCTATGAACCAATTTGGTTTCATGTCCGGAAGGTCAATCATGGAAGCCATTTTCTTAATAAGACAAGTTATGGAGCGGTATAGGGAGAAGAAGAAGGGCCTACACATGATTTTTATTGACTTGGAGAAGGCTTATGATAAAATACCAAGGAATATTATGTGGTGGGCTTTGAACAAACATAAAGTCCCAACGAAGTACGTCGGGCTCATTAAGGACATGTACAACAATATTGTGACTAGTGTTCGAACAAGTGATGGAGACACAAATGACTTTCTGATTATGATAGGACTATATTAAGGGTTAGCTTTGAGCCCTTATCTGTTTGCCTGAGTGATGGATGAGGTCACAAGGGACATACAAGGGGACATCTCTTGGTGTATGCTTTTCGCGGACGATGTAGTGCTAGTTGATGAAAGTCCGACAGAAGTGAATCAGAAACTGGAGTTATGGTGGAAGACTTTGGAGTCCAAAGGTTTTAGACTCAGTAGAAATAAAACTAAGTATATAAGATGTGACTTCGGCACTACTACTCGGGAGGAGGGAGATTAGTTTGGAAGGTCAAGTAGTGCCTAGGAAGGATACCTTTCGATATTTAGGATCAATGCTATAGAGAGACGGGGATATTAATGAAGATGTTAGCCATAGAATCAAAGCAGGGTGGATGAAGTGGCGCCAAGCATCTGGTGTCCTATGTGACAAAAGGGTACCACAGAAGCTAAAAGGCAAGTTTTATAGGACGGCGATTAGACCTGCTATGTTGTATGGTGCAGAATGTTGGCCTATGAAAAGACGACATGTTCAACAGATAAGTGTCGCGGAAATGCGTATGTTACGTTGGATTTGCGGTCATACAAGAAGGGATCGAGTTTGGAACGATGATATACGTGATAGATTAGGGGTAGCACCAATTGAAGAAAAGCTTGTCCAACACCGGTTGAGATGGTTTGGACATATCCAATGGAGACCTCCAGAGGCACCGGTGCATAGTGGAATCCTAAGCCAGGATAGTAACGTGAAGAGAGGTAGAGGAAGATAGAAGTTGACTTGGGTAGAGGTAATAAAAAGAGACTTGAAAGGATGGAATATACCCAAAGACTTAGCCTTAGATAGAAGTGCTTGAAAAACAGCTATTCACGTGCCTGAACCTTGATTGCTTCTGCTGGGTTTCAATTCTAGCCTACCCCAACTTGTTTGGGACTTAAAGTCTTTGTTGTTGTTGTGTTGTTGTTGTTGTTGTTGAGGATGGGTGAGGCCCACATGTCGGCGCAAAAAAGAACAGCGAGATGCAGAGTGACGCGCTCGGCTTCACCACGTGTAGTGGACGGGTCCAGTTCGCTCTTTTTAGTAGTAGAGAGATGTTTGGAACCTTAAACATAAAAGATAACCTATTTTAGGTCTTATTAGTTCATTGTTTATTGTACTCATGTTAAATTTCGAAGTATCCGCTGTATACTCAATTACTCATCCAATTGTTTCCCAATGTGTTTTAGGTGACATTATTGCCTTTCCGTTGTCACGAGGATGAATCAATATCTGTTTCGGATCATACTGATGGTACAAAATCTTGTAAAGGCTCAAAAGAGGTTGAGCAACCAAGCCCAGTGTCCATCCTTGAGCCTCCAATTGATGATGATATTTGTTTTCCAGGATGTTTGACTTATGATGACTTGCAAGGGATGGCTAGTAAGTGAGGCAAACTTAACCTTTCCCAGTAAAACCTGCACTGCAGTCATATTCACTTTTAAGGTTAAATAATTTCTGAATCAAGGTTATAATTTTTGCACCTTACCCAGTCATTGTAGGTAACAAGAATATTTAGATAGTGAATTTTCAATCCTAATCTGTAACTGATGGTAAAATAAAACATTCTAAACAAATTTAGGATGTGCCAAAACTGGAGAGTACAGTGTGTGACAGAAGTCATAAAACAGATCTTTCATAAATTTTCAGCTTCATGATTTTCTTAACGGAAGCTTCTCTCTTTTCCCTTGATGTAGAGAAACAAAGAGATGGCCATCAATATCACAATGAATCTGAAGTTACCATGTCAAGTGATGATGAAGACCATTCTTTTTACCAATCTTTGGAAGCATTTCAGGTCGAGGAAAACTGGGACTTCTCATATCTCCTTGACATACTTATATGCTCTGGTATCATAGTTTCTGACTGGCAGCTCATCTGCAAGTCATGGTACTTGCCTGGTTGCCCTGTTGGCCCTCATGTCTTTGATAGGCTTGAGAGGAAGTACAACAAAATCACCACATGGGCAAAACCTGAGAGGAGGCTTCTGTTCGACCTCGTGAATTCAATCCTTTCCGAGGTCCTTGCACCATGTGTTGATGTGCACCTGTGGGTGCAGCCTAGTAGACACCGTGTAGCTCTTTGCGGCCCTGAAGGACCTGTTGAGAAGGTTTGGCAGACAATTGTTAGGCAGCGGGAAGATTGTGTCACAGGGAATCCTGATGAGATGGTTCTTGATACAAACTGGCTGGAAGTAGGCAACGACATCAATATGATGGGGAAGCAGATATCTAGGATGTTACATGGCGACCTCTTGGAAGAAGTCATAGTGGACTTCCTGGGATGAGTTGGTAGTTTCATGAGGACCTAACTAAGAACTTCGCAATGGTAGCAGAATACTATGGCAACATGGGGTTCGCCCAAACTTCAAGCAAATTATGCTGAAGTATGTAACGGCTTTTCAAGTGCACATATGCTGCATTTTTCTTCTGGTTATAATAGGAGCTATGTATCATGCCATTACACTGGAGTGCATAATATACAGGCCAAAAAACACTACTGCAGGTATTTCTGGATTCTGTACTGATAAGCTGTACTATCTGATACTTTGATGTGTGTAGTAATGTAAGCTAGAAAAAGACCTATCCGCCATCCAGGTTTGAGGATGTTAGTAAATATTTAGGATTCAATATTTGCTAACGGGCAGCACATATTAGAGGGTTCTAACATCTTAAGCCTATAGGAATTCGACATGTAATGTAATCGACAGTTGCAGAGTACATACTTGGTATCTGAGTTAATTGTCCAGTTTCTGTCTCACTAGTCAAATGCCCTATGGCGCACAAAACATACCTACATGCATATATAATATACAGCTCATGTGTATGATTATGATAGAGTAAAGTCAAATAATACAAATACAAAAGTAGATAAGTATTGTCGTGTGGACGATGGGTTTATGTTCTGTGGCAGAGTTGCACATGCACTTGCACATATAAAGCAATACTCACTCCATAAGTCATTCTCGGTTTCCAAATAGTCAACAAATTTTAACTTTGATCAAATATATTGAACAAAATATTAATATTTATGGTACTTAATCGGTATCATTAGGTAGATCGTCATTGGCGGATCTAGAAACAGACCGGGGTGCTGCTAAATAACAGAGGGCAAAAAATTTCTGCTCGTTGCTCGTTGTATACAGTACACTGATTGATATCGATTCAAAGTGCTCAATGATACATAGAACTATGATGAGGATAGAAAAGTACCAAATACAAAGAGCTTTCCATAATAATAATAAAAAATCCATGTCTGATTCTTCCGTCTTCACGAATTCACACCACTTGAACCACCACGCTTAATGTTACATAATTTTTAAAATTTCATACTTCTTCATATATCAAGATAGCATTATAAAATGAAATGTACTAAAACAATACGCACCTCGGGCCCACGCGTGGCAAATTTATCTTACGGTTTCTTAAGCCTTGAAAGGGCTTCAAAATTTTTCATCTTCAATAGATGCAAACAAATCCCGCTCAGTATAGCATATCATGCTATTATTCATCCAATCAGCATTCATTTTATTGCTCCGTTCGGTCTTGATAATATTCATAGTGGAGAAGGCTCTTTCAATTGTTGTTGTTGCCACTAGCAAAATCAATGCAAGTTCAATGAGATGATACACCAAAGAAAAATGTGTATATCTATCACTTTGAACCATCTTCTCGCAAGGTTACCAAGATCAGTACAGGTGCCAAAATCTTTATCATTTTTGACTTCATCAATGAATACAAGAAGGTCACCCCTTAGCTTTACACAATCATAATCACTGAAGTCATCTTTATAGATCATAGCAAGCTCAACTAATTTCTCTATCTCTAAGTTGGCAAAAGAACCATTCGGATCAAGACAAGCAACACATCTCAAGAGTTGAGTTGATCTTTCTAGAAACCGATTGTTTAACTCACAAAGAATCGGATCAATCACAGCATTGAAAATCCCATGATGAAAATGATGGTAGTGTGTCACTAATTTGGCACCACGGAATTTGGAACAACCTCTAACTGGTATCATATCTTCCATATTAGGAATGTCTATCTTCTTTTCGACACAAAAGCTTTTTACCTCTTCAAAAAGATCATCGCAACCATTTTCCCTCATGGCATTCATATTTCTCATCATAGAACCTATCAATCCTATTGCACGAACAATGTTCTGATTTTCTTTTGCAAACATTATGACAGTTCTTGAGTCACCCCCAATACTCTAATCATAAGATGTAATATAAACACAAATTCAAATGACTCCATTCTTGTTATCAATCCATATGCAATAGTTTTCTTTTCCCCATCAGTTCCATCTTCACTAATATTTTCTAACACCTCAAGTATAGAACCCCACATGAGCATAAGACGTGCCAATGTTTTGTGATGTGTTCCCCACCGTGTATCACCAGACCTAGCAAGACTAGTTTCTTGGTTTTTCCCTCTCCCAAGAAAAATAGCACCACTATCTAATTGCTAAACAAGATGCTCATGGTGATTTCGGAGGAGTTGATCTTTTCTTTTGCAAGAAGCACTAACAGTAGTGATAATTGAAGTGACATAATTAGAGAAATCTAGCAATGCCTAACATAATAGTTAAACGAGCTTTATATGCCTCCTCTTCTGCTGCGCTTGTGACAATCCACACATGCTCAACACTTTCTCTGATTTTTGAAATCAAGTGCACGCTTCCTTGCATTACTATGAAAGCCATCAATTGATTGAGCATCCTCTTTGAAAGAATCCTTTGCATTCTTCCAATTTCTAAACCCAACTCCTTGAAAGATTCACCGGGCGCCGTCGTGCAGTGCCGTCGCGCTGTCGCGGCTTCGCTCGTGACTCGCGATCGCGAGGGAGTCGACGAGTCGGGCCAGAGAACGAGGCGCGAAGTTAAAGAGACGAGCAGGCCAAGGGTCACGCTGCTCACTTGCTGCGGGCTGCGGCCAGGGCTGGGGAAAAGGCTAGCTAGGCTATATTCCTGTCAGAGGGGGCTATTGGGCTGCCAGGCCTTTTTACGTGTTTTTTGTGAAACTTGTTCCTAGAGCTATTGGGCCTCGCCCCGGGCCCAAATCCACCCATGTAGATCGTTGAATATACTTTTATAATAAACTTATTTGGAGATACAAATATTGCACTCATTTTCTAAAAACCTATTCAAAGTTGAGAATTTTTTACTAGCACGATTCTTATAACGACTCGTTTTTAGGGATGGAGGGAGCATGAAGAGGTACAATGGTGATGGTGGCAGGCATACCATCGTCACCCACACCATCGAACAAAGTATACCATGGCTTTGGCTATGAGATCTGTAGCCGCTGGTACCTACTACTAGGTAACATGCACTACTACAAAAACGATTTGCGACAATGCCTCCCTTTCTTTGTAGGGGCGGCTCTATATTGAGCTGCCCCTATAAATGGTTGCCAAATGAGCCGTCCTTATAAATGGATTTGTAGGGGCGGCCGGTGTTATCAGCCGCCCCTACAAATAGACTTCATTTGTAGGGGCGGCTCTATATCCAGCCGCCTCTACAAATCGGATTTGTAGGGGCGGCTCAATATTAAACCGCCCCTACAAATAGACGCCGAGTATTAAAAATTAAGCACTAAAATTCAAATTTTGTAAACGACCTCGGATGGAGAAACAACCAAAATGAAAGTTGTAGATCTCGAAAAATTATAAAACTTTATAGTTGACTACTTTTTAATTTAAAATCATCTTGTCAAGGAAAACTACGTTTGAATTTCCAAAAATTTGAAATTTGAATTGTTTAAATGACGATGGACAAATAGTAAAAATAAAAGTTGTAGATCTTAAAAAGTTATGAAACTTTGTAGTTGATAACTTTCTCATTTGAAATCATCTTGTCATGGAAAACTACGTTCCAATTTCTCAAATTTGAAATTCAAATTTTATAAGTGACCTTGGATGGAGAAACTACCAAAATGAAAGTTGTAGATATCGAAAAGTTATAAAACTTTGTAGTTGACAACTTTTTCATTTGAATTAGTTTAGGGCCTCAAACAATCAATTTATGCTCAGTTTTGTATAATACGTGGGGAACCGAAATGGAATGTAGACACGAGTGAACGTGAGGTGCAGTGGTAAAAGAGTTTGCGCGTGAGGGAGGAGTTGCGGGTTCAAATCCTGCCCGACATAAAGTGTGGAAAAATCATGAAAAAATGCTACAATGATAGAGTGGGTGGTGGGGACCTCCTCGGATTAAAAAAAAAATTGCTATTTTTTGCCTCTTTTTTTCGTGATTTCTGAAAATTAATTTATAGGGACGGCCCAATAACAATTCTACAAATACATGATTTGTAGGGACCCTTGGGTAGGGGCAGCTGAGCAAACCGCTCCTACAAAGCCTCTGAAGCCGCCCCTAAAATCATATTCTAAGTAGTGATGCTCTAGGCCCATCCACACGGATCTATCAGGGGTCAAAACAGCTGCACCACCGTCATCACCAAAATTGTGCTGGAACTGCTCTTCAGCATTGCTAGCATAAGGTAAGTATAAGTAAAGTTTAGAAGACACATTCACTAATCACTATCCTTTTAGCAAGTGCCGACACCGTGCTGTTTGGTTGGTTCATTTTTTGACGCAATCCGATCATGGCGCCATTAGATTACGTTAGTTTTTGTTTGTTTGACGTACCATGCGAACTGATGCCACGGTGTTTGTTTGACGTACCATGCGAACTGATGCCATGGAAATAGATCCAGACCTTTAGGGAGTCGTTCACTCTCAATCAACGACGGTAGCCGATTGCATTTGCGTCTAGTAACTGCTTTCCCATTTCTACCGGTGGACCAAACCAAAAGCAAAATAGTTAATTCCCTTCCCGTTGCTGCTGGTAGTTGTTTCCTCAGCGTTAACGTTGCTGGCGGTGCAACCAAACAGCACCCGTCCTATTTTGATCCACCAGCTAAATTTTAGTTGGCTAAATTTAGCTGTGGAGGATCAAGTAGTCCAAACTAAAACAAACTAAAAGTCCTCCTGTTAATGGGAACCCCATTATCCCACATTAACTGTTCTAACCTAGCTAATGGCAGCTAAAAGTGGCTAATGATGAAATTACCCATCATTATTTTTGGCATTGCGCCCGTTCCGCACCGCGAGTTTGGCATCACGTCCGTTCCCCTCCGCGAGTTCGGCATCGCGCTTGTTCTCCTCCTCCGCCTGGCCCCGTGCGGCCGCGGCGGCTGGCCCACCGTGGCCACGACCTCCTCCGCTGGCTGCGCCCGCTGGCCCTGCCGTCACCGCGACCTCCTCCTGCGCCGGCCGCGCTCGCTAA